CATTCAGTTTGTCCAGCTGATGACAGTAGACTTCCGAATTAATCGTTGTGTTATCCGGTAAAAGCTCAAAAAAAACGATTCCTTTAAAATCCCACCAAACAGACAGCATCACCTTTTTTTGGTGAATATCGGCTTTGGAAATGGTTTGAGCCGGTTCATCTTTTTTGCTCCATGACCTCTTGCGTTTGACGTTGTTGTATACAACCCATTTTTCGTCCCCAGTGATGATGCGCTTCAAAAACGGATCATTTTCGTGACGTTTGAGAAGCGAATCGCAGACGTCAATGCGGCGACACAGATTTCTCTCTGTGAGAACATGGGGAACCCATACATCGAGCTTCGAGGATAATCCCAGGCCTTTCAAGTGGTCATAAACTGTTGAATTTGATAAATTTAACCTCAATCCGATCTCACGTGTTGTTATTCGCCGGTTCACATCAACTAATGCCTTTATCGCGTCTTTATCAGCTTCAACCGGCCTTCCCGAACGTGGTGCATCTTCGACATCAAAATTGCCGGATCGAAATTTAGCGAACCAGTTCTGGCACTGGCGTACTGTCAACACACCTTCTCCATACACATCAGTCAATTTCTTTCTGGCTTGAACAGCATTTTTACCCTTTCTGTAGTAAAACGGTAAGATATATCGAAAATGCTGCTTATCGCTCTCCATATTTAAAAGGGCACCAACCAAAAACTACTGCGTAGAATTAATTTGAATTTTTCACACACAAGCCTTGCTATATGAGCTCTCAAAGCATATAAAAATTATACGGGTTAAATGTGAAGTTGAAATGACTTTCCGAACAACCCGATATTATCAAAGGAGAAGAAAACTTGGAAGAGATAGATTTAGTAGCTGCACTTCAAAGTGGAACTAAAAACCGCGAAGCAGTGTTTAAAATACTTATTCATAAACACCTGTTACACTACGAGGTGATATTTTTCTTTTCCACCGCGACCACATTCATGTCTCTCTCTAAATACAGGGTCGTGCTCCAAAATATTAACATGATTAAAAATACCTGGAGCACTAACATTACATTTTTTTAAGTTATTCTATATAAAACCGCTAATGTAGGTAGGTACTTCACTTTTTACTCTATTAATGTTACTTTCGAAAGACGAGGTGAATTATCCTCGACATTTTCTTTGGCCTCTATTCAAATTCCGATAAAACTTGAACGCAAAGTTTAAGCACATTACCGTCACAGTCGCGTTTTAACAGGTTTCGAAAAGCTGAAGTTTGCTTGTTGATGGCAAAAAGCGCGTAAAACAATCAAACTTGCTGGAGGATGGTGAGCAAGTTTTTGCATTTTAAACAGGCAAGTTTCTCTGAATTCGACGCGCTCAACCATTTTATTATTTAAGATCAGCGAATTCGTAAACAGGGAACGTTGTCGTCCTTGCGACATGGCATGGTGGTGGTACATGCGGGGAATTTTTGGACGACGTGGCACGTTCCGTTCTTGGCAGCAACGGCTTGGCTCAGGGTAGTAGTCGGAAAGCCGCGACTTCAATTTAATTAGTCGTAGGTTCGTCAGCCAAGAAGAGATTCCCCAGGGAATCTATGAATTGTTTCCAAGTTTCTACTTGAACACTGCGACTATAACGTACATGTACACGTTGAGTTGCTTAAGGCACCCGACCATTTAATATGCCATCACTGTCGAACTACCAAGTTTAAAAAAAAAACCGATGCGCAAAGAGAAAATAACGTTAAAGGCTTTGGTGTTGTCAGGGATTTAATGCTTTGAATAGGTCTTTTAAGGTCTAACGGACTATTATTGTTGTAACAATATTGTCCGTCCATCTTAACGTCCTAACAAAATTAGAAACCTTTTCAATTTCGCTGGTTGTATGCCCAAATTTGAGACAATTCATCAATCTTAATGTAGACGAGAATGATAGGTCAATAAAAATGAAGGAATAATTATGTTTTTTTTTTTAATTCTACATGAAACTAAATTATCTTTGAATTAGGGTAATAATTGGAGAGACTCCTTAAAAAGTCAGACATAAATATGCTTTTATACAGAATCAATACAATTAGCCGGAAAGAATTGTACCCTAATAAAAAACGTTGCAATAATAATTTCTATTTTCTGTTATTTATTCTACTTATCATCCCTTGACAATCATTTAGTATTCAAGTATTCCTGCTATAGCAAGAATAAAGAACGCTCCCAGCTACCACCCCTAAGATGATTGGTAAAGAAAGTTCCGGCTGTTTGATTTATAAGATATTTGATGATTTATGGGCGTTCATAACCAAAAAAATTGAAAACGTGCACTGCACTTTGATATAGGTATAGTTCAAGACCTTTCATTGACTCCTTAAAAATTTGATTATCTCATTCATGTATAGTGAAAAATGTACGGTAAGAAGTAATAATAAACAATCATTTTGTAAGTATGTGCTTAGTACAATTATGAAAATATTTATCTACCCAAATGTAACTAGTTAAATTAACAACTAAAGGACCAAAAAAAATTTTCAAAGTAATGTGTCTTGTTTGGTTTATCAGAAGCGGAATGAAACTTTACGATTTTCTATTTTTCGTGGTCACACTATAGCGTTAAATAAATTAGGACTCTGGCGGTAAATTGGTACTGAAATTAACATTTATTCTTCTCACAAACTTTAAGGGCAAATTAACGTTAAAATGTACCAACCAATGCGATTCGACTCAATCATCCACCAAACAGATGAATCGTTAAGTTTAAGAGCTCGAAACTTTTTACGAGTTCGCATCAGAATTTGTATTTAATTCTAAGTGAACGTGTGCAAGAAGTAGAATTTTATTGCTATCCGGCAACGACCCGCTCTTACTACAACCGTAGTTTACTTCCTTTCGAGTCCTGAATTTGTGCCTGTTTGTTCAACTTTATATTTCTCTTTGAGCCAGTAAACTTGATCAAATTGAAGTCGCGTACTTTTCTTTCTAATTTAATTCGTCCGAAGTTAAATTATTTCGAGTTTGACAGAGTAGTAAAGATTGCAACGGTTACTACCGACTACTTGACTTAGTCAGCCCTCTGCAAACCAAATAACTTTAACGAATGAAACATGTTCGATATTATCATTCGACTACAAGTCCAGTCCGATCGAAAATCATTCGCCTTATTGTAAAAATTCTTCCCACATAAAACTTACAATTTTGAGTAGTGGATTATTTGTAAAACATATGAAAACGAATAGAAAAAAGAAAACAAATAAGTTTCACGAAAGATTTTAATTGGTTCGACAGTATAATCTTCTCTATATTCTAGATCAGTGTTTGTCAATCCTTTTAAATACGCGACCCCTTTATAGGTTGAAAAATTCTGACGACCCCCTTCGATCATAGACAGACAAAAAGTCTCTGCGAAAAATAAACAAGTCCATCATCACTGAAATTGTGTATAGAACTTTACCTTTCTCCTTTTTCCGACGACCCCCCTAAGGGTCGCGACCTACAGATCGAAAAACACTGCTCTAAATAATGGTCGCTATGACCGAAAAAATATTGTCGAGGTAATTAAAATCTTATTGGTTTTCTTTCTTTTCTTAATTTTACATATAGTGCCATCGGTTATAACATCCTTCTGGTTATAATTTACACAGCATTTGATGTGTTACCAATCTGGCATCACAATTGAAAAATCATTTATTCAAAATCTTTGTGTAACTGTTACAACAAAATATGAAAACTGCATTTTGAAACTATGTAAATTCACTAATGAAACCTAAACCTGACGTCTTATATTTAAATTTCGGATAAACCAACACTCAAATCAAGAGGATAATATTTCATTTATTTATTTATAAAAAATTCATAATTTCTCCCCTAACCCNATTTATAAAAAAATTCATAATTTCTCCCCTAACCCGATACTCCCAAGTGAATTAAAGTTAGTTCGGTATCCCTTTATATTAAATTTAAACAGGAATCATCGAGAAGACGAATGCCTTGATATTTAGAAGACATCTATATGTACACTGCGACCAATGACAAAATCATTTAACTTTTCTTTTAAGTTGTTTTTTTCTTCGTGTGCTTTTAACTCCAGCGAGCACATGAACAGGATCTTCAGTCACGTAAAAAATATTTTGTTTTCTTTTAAAAAGCATTATATTGAAATGTTGCGAACAGATATTATCCTCTTGAAAGCCTATATGATAATGGCAAGCGGCTTCTTTTATTTCCGCTTAACTTCTTTCATCCAATTACCGCTGTCTTTTCTGTGTAGGGAGCTTTTCTTATTTCGTCGATTTGGAAAGTATCAGTTTACCTTTTTCTTTACCAAACAATTTTTTTTATCAGAAACATTCATTGTATCAGTGAAAAGACATGTCAGTTTAAAAAAAATTCAAGTATAACAGGTGTATTTTAATATAGGGTATGTGTCAATAGTGTACTATTCACTTTAGAAATAAATGTGTTGCTTGACAATTTAAATATTATTATTAATTAGCTAAATAATACAAAAAAGAAACACTTGGTATTTAATTCTTCTTCTTCTTCGTAATGTCCATTTATTGAAAGAGGTTATTAAAGTAAATTAGAGTTTGAGGCAATTTATCAGAAGTAAATAAACATCATCAAGAGGAAAAGCAATTAACAAATTGTCGAAGTTCTTCGCGACCTTTTGTTTCCGAATGACGTCCTTTCTTGGAACCAATTAATCGTCCATTTAAATTCTTTCTTGGCTATTCACAAAACTTAGTTGCAGGTATTTTAATTGCTGCCTCTTTTATTAATGGCATTGATTTTGAATAATAATAATAACGAAAAGCACACAAACGGTGATGCACATTTACGATAACATTGAAGCATTATTATTATTTAATAAACTCTGTTATCAGATCAATATTCTCGAGCATATGAATAAGGAATCTCTACTTTTGCATGCCTTAAAAAATTCTGCCTGTCTCCTCCTTAGTTACATATCTAATAGTAATTCTAATACGTTAACAATTTTATCGTATTTGATTAACGTGATTTTTTTTGTTACAGGTTAAAGTAATGTTACGGGTTTCCACGCTTCCATCGGGCTCATCTCCAGAAAACAGCAACTTCTTTAGCATTGATAAACGAAAAAAACAGGTCACTCTAATCGATCCATCGGTATGTGGCAGTTCGCCTGCTCCTGAAGACCGAAGAGTTGGTGTAGCAGCGCCCAAAATGTTTGCTTTTGATGCACTATTCTCCCAAGACGATTCACAGGTAATATTTTAAACTGTAAAGAGAATATGTATCTACCTATAAAAAGTATCAATCGACAGTTTATTTAATAAGGTCATATTTATATAAAGAAACACATGAGGAAATCATCGAATGGGTATCAACACCTCGACTATAAATAAAAAGAATGTTAAAATGACCAGTAACTTTGCAAAATCTACGAGTAAGTCATATTAGTATAAAAGACTTCAGGCCATTGAAGATTAAATCCGTTTCTTGAATGATCCTCAAGTTATAAGAATGTAACTGTGAATTTAAAGCGTCGAATTTGAACAATTTTTGACGTGGCAGTTCCGCCCTTTTGCCACAAAGGATTTAATTTTAATTAAAACATTTCTAACGGTTCAAAACAAAATTGCCTAAATAAACTTAACGGTTGAGGCGCGGACACGATGGACGTCGGGGGTTAAAAGGGAGACCTGGAGCGTCCCACAGCATCCCTCCTCTCTAGTACCCACATTCCGAATTAATTTCGAGTCTATCGCGGCGATGCGGCAGATCCAGAAATTACGTTTAATCAAGGAACAAAGCGTCCATCGGGTTTTACGAGAGAGTAGGTTAAACAAGCGTTTTTCAACTTGCCGCTCGTTACAATCTAGCAACCGACGACGCCGATGCGCGACGGATAGCGGTGCCCACAGTTGACCCTTCTTTTTTCCTCGTGATACGGCGACCTGTAGTATGCATCTCATGTATCGTGGAAACGTGCAGCAACTTCGTTTGTTAGCAGGCCTGCAATTCACACAGGACACCACCGTCGAATCGCTAACACAGCACATAACTAATTGAATCGACTTAATTGTTACACGCATCAATTGAAGCGTCCCTTCAGCCAATATTGTGAAAGAAATTACAGTGTTTTGAGAACAAATTTTTATTCACTGTCATAATAATGACTCTTAATGATTATTTACTCCTTAATCCATATATGTATATTGAAGATGCGATTAATATTGTTTAAAAAAAGATAGATTTACAGAGGCAAAAAATTAGCATGCTTACTGTTTCTTACAATTTTATCGCATTGGTGTTGTGGCGTCTTAGGTTTTGTTTGATATTTCTTTTATGTTCACACATACCAACATTTACCTGCTGTCTTAACAGCGCGTTTTAGAAAATACCACAAATGGCGCGGTAAACGCCATCTGTAGTACGATGCTACATTACAGACCAATTTTTACCTGCTGTCTTAACAGCGCGTTTTAGAAAATACCACAAATGGCGCGGTAAACGCCATCTGTAGTACGTAATCCTAAAATGTAGCCCGTAATACTAAAATGTAGCATCATACTACAGATGGCGTTTACCGCGCCATTTGTGGTATTTTCTAAAACGCGCTGTTAAGACAGCAGGTAAACGTTGGTCTGTGTTCTGTCGGAGCTGTCTGCGACGCGCTGATGAGATCCAAAAAGATCGAAATCACTATCCACGTCTGGCAGTTTCGACAGAATACAGACCACTTCGAATTATTATTCTTTGATCCTGTCTTTAAGGGGCTGTCTATTCTGACCAATATAAATGACGTTGGAATTTTTGCGATTTAACATTATCTTTGAAGACAATTTTCTTAGTTGTTATTCACTAATAAAAAACTGAAATTGGTTTTGTTTTTTTTTTTGGTAGGTAGGTTTAAATTAAATTGAAATGATGTGTTTTTGATTTTCAACTGATTTTGCAGTCTAAATAGTCTAAATTTTATTTGTTATTCTATTCTACCCAAAATATTATATTCTTTAAAAAGTTCCTGCTTTAATTTTAAAGAGTTGCAAAGTAAGTTACAGTTGGTGGGTATTTAGGGTCATAATAAGGCAATTTTTCAGCTACGGCTGTAATTCTTCTACCTTATTTTTATATTTCCTGAGGGAAGGTGGTTGTGATCTATGCTTTCGTAAGTTGAAACAACTTGGTCTTTCTCTCCCGGGGACAGTAAAATTAATGTAATCCAATTTTGTTTACTAGTAGCATGAATTTTTATCTTACCGTTTGCTCTTTAATGGTCTCGTTCGAACAATATATTTCCCGTAATGCAGTGTCGCGTTGCACTGCGCCCTCACTATTTGCCTCCTTTTTTCTCTCTTCCCTACACGGAAAACAAATCGAACTGGGGGGAACACAAATGTAAAAGTCTTGTTCAATCTTTTTAAGATTTCAGATTTCTTAAGTGCCTCCATTTCGAATCGTAAGAACTGTGAATTTTGCGTAGCGGTAAGACGGTCTTCTTTGCTGGATAACGGGAAGCATTTTTGGGGTGTGTTCATCCCCTAAGACTAAGACGGGCAGTAACTCTCATTTCGCTTAACACGCTTAAACGTTCTGTCACCCACTGATATTGCGGGATGGAGCACATAATTTTCTGACAACACGCCAACAGATGTTCTTCATTACCTTCTTCTTGTTTCACAACCAGTGTGCTACCGAAGATAGATAGCGTAACAACTTGGTGAAAATATCATTCCTTTACGTCATGCAAGTTAGTATCCTACGTTACAAAAATGAGGATGAAACGTTCCATCGCATCGGCTGACTCATTTCGAGCAATTTTTTCGTTCGTCTGGAAATTAATTTAGGAAATATTAAAAAAATATCTCGCATTTGTTTATGACGTCCGTCGAAATGAAAACGTTTTTCGCATTCTTTACGTTACGAATGCGGAAGTGTTCCCGTTAATAAGGAGCTAAGACAAATTTAATTATTCTCTTTGTTTTCATCAACGTTAATATCAATAAAATTGTTAGGTACTATACATGCATAAAATAGAGAACGAGTTCTGGGGGTCATCACCCGCCCCCAAAAAATAAGAAAATTATGTAGAATGTTGTACTGCTTTCCAAAAATTATGAGAACTCAATAACAAGAGAAAAGAAATCCAATAATTATAGTATAAAT